AGGACCCGGGAGGGCATTACATAGGGGGGGATTAGGATTTTATATATATATATATAGATATACAGGGAGTAGGAGGGAGATCGCCTGGTACGGACCACCCCTCACTGGCAATAGGTGGGCTCCTCGTAACAGAACTCTAGGGCACCTTCCGAAAATGGTAAAAACTTTGGGAATGGTGCATTGCTAGTAGAGGGGAGTTGCTTCACATGGCAAATGCTTTAGAGGTTGTACCACAAATAGTAAAGGTGCTATAGAAAGAGTTCGTTTTTTTTTTTCAATGCCCCTCATATGTTGTTGAAATGAGGGGGGGAAAATTGGTGAGTAGTGACCGATGGTCTGCGAACCCCTCCTACCACACTCCTACCCTCTGTTTCGTTGTGCGACCCTTGTGCAACAGTTATAAGTTATTGCGATGAAACCTTTTTGGCACTTGAAAATGCTGGAAGTGGGTTTGACTGCGTGTGATATACCTCTCGGTATACTGTAATCACGTATGCTGGTCTGTTTCAAGGTCTTTGTGCTAACTTACGACGGATCCGATTGTTGACTTTGCGTGGCTTTTTGCAACGATTCCCACTGCTACGTTTTATGCTTCCTCTTTGCTTGTTCGTCATGGGACTTGAAGCTGAATAATTTATCTCGCATGTGTTACTGATTTGGAGATACTGGAGCAGAACGCTTGCAGGACTGGGATCGCATACTTTATTTAGTATTGGTGGGTGGCTACTGAAGAGGTGCAGCATACAGTTTTTCCAATGAGCATGGGCTGTCAGTGTTCTGAAATTAATTGGATAGATGCCCTCTTCTATCACCTTTATTTCTATAGTTTATTGACTAGCTCTAGCATAGTTTTTAAGCACAGTGATTGAAGTAACTTGTTTCTACTTGAATTAATCTGACAAAATTTTATGGTGTATACGTTGCCCAAATTAGGGGAGACGCTTCTCGAAGACACTTTTTTGAATATGAAATTTGAGATATTTATGGAACTTTTTATGTTTATTTCAAATATATAATTAGTTTTCTTGCAAGTTGCATACTTTCAGCTTTGCAACATGACAAAGTAAAATTTTAACCCTTTTGCCCCCCCCCCCCCCTTTTTTTTCATCCGTAAACTTCCCTAATATCTTACCATTCATAGATCATAATGTTTCAAATAAAGTGTAGAATATAAATAACTAATTAGGAAGCACATACAAAATATGCAATAGGCGTGAAAAATAATAGACGTAAAAAAGCCCATATGTCACCTACCCTGGTAAAGGTTTACATACAACTTTTCATTATATAATAATATATTGAAATTTAAGCTAGATAATTGTATTTGTCATTGGAAAAAAATATAGGCAAAATTTCATGCAGATCCAAGCACTAGAAGTGCCTGAAAAAGGAGGGGCACTTTGAAAAAATGGCGAAACTTGTGTTTAAAAAAAAAAACAAGTTTTAGAGTTAAAATGGAGTTTTTATTTATAAAAGATCTCTTTAAATTTGATGAAATTTGCACACCAAAAAAACACTCCTTCTTGTAGTGGCCACTGCCACTAAAATACATCAGCACCATGAGTTTGTCCTTCTCGGCATTTTCGAGCCAACTCCTCACAGACATTTCGCTCACAGGCAGGGCCATGAAACGCTTGCCAAACTTCTTCCACTCCATCTGGCAGAGCCTTGTGCCTACTGCAAGCTAGGAAGAAGTTCGACAGGACTGCAAAATCTAAACCAAGTCCCGTGTCGTGGGACACAACAGTGCCAATGCCATTTTGTGGCCACGTTTGTGCCACATACCGTCGTACATAATGGCAATGTCGTCCCCGCTAAGTTTCCTCACAGTGAGCTTTTCGACCTCGGAAGATTGGCGCTGACGTCATCCATTTACTCATCACGAACTTTCTGGCTGATGGCTGTGAATTACTTTTGATGGATTGGTTTTTGCAAGCGAACAACTGCCGCGAATCAGACCAGCCGCTCGTAGCCTTTTCTTACAGAGCGCGCCATCACAACAGCTTTAACGGGCGAGCAATGGCTTTTTTCATTCATAACGAAGATATATACACGATAAAAGCATTGTTCAGCTGCGCTTCTAGCCAAGACATGGACCCCGCAAGTAGGCTCCACAGCACATACAGGCGCGCAGCGGCCAATGGTGGTCCGTACCATGTGACAAGCCAGTCGCTGAGCTCGAAAAATGTGCGAAAGCGTGCTTCTTTTTATTGTTTCTTGCGCCGTATCAGCGAGGGAAACTGTCCTTTTTTGAAGAGTGAGGCTCGACTGTTCACCTCATGCGATTGACAATGGCAAGCGAAGGCCTATTATCAGTGGCAAGGTACTTGAAGACTGCATACTTTGGGCCTTTTAACAGGCACCTTGTGCTCTCTAGATGAAATTTTAAAGCATTTCTAGTTAAGTCTCGTCTTCTTCTTTTTTTTTTTTTTTTTTTTCAGAACAGTAGAGGTACTAATCCCATCACAACAGGGGAAAATTTTAAAAATGGTAATTTTGAAAAAAAGAACGTGTGGTTTTGGACCCGCATCTGCCCTTAAAGACCTACTATGATGGTCTAGTTACTGCTTATGGTGCTCGGCTGCTTGCCTCAGTGGTGCGGGTTTGATCACAGTTGAGGTGTATGCATTTAAGTGAAAGTGAAATGTCAGGGGCCCATGTACTTGAACGTTCTCATTTGAAATGCCAGGTTCTATTTATTATGCAAAGCTGCGAAATGTAAAAATAAAAGCGATGAATTGAAGACTGTTTCGATTTTATGAGATTTCGATGTAGTAGATCATGCCTGGTGTAGCCAATGTTTTGACAATCTTGTCCCCGTCAAAGTTTCAGCTGCGTACATTAGCGCGAATATGTGTGTCCTTTGTGCCATCTCCTCCTCCTCCAACCTTGCTCTTTTGTTTGGGTTGGAGGAGAGGCTGCAAGACATGTACACTTATGAGAGAATCTATATGGACCATGGCTGTTTCTATATGTTTGTTATTTGCCAAATCTTTGCGTCGTTTAGAGAATAGTTGTCGTGTTCAGAGCATTTCTCCGACGACTTCCGTCTCAGTAATTCTCTCAAAGGCTATTTCGTCGAGGCAGTGCTTTCAACAGCAGACAGCCCGCGACTAGACATTGTAACAGCGATTTCGGTACTCGCTTTTGTGGCCCGTATACTTTTGCACAAGGGTGTGTGTGCATGTATGGGCCAAAGTTGGCAGTTGCAGACTTTACCAAGACAAAACTGCTAGCCAAAACGTTAGCTCCAGCAACTCCCTCCGTTCTAAATCTTTTCTCCTATTCGAGCTTCCACCTTTCCCTGAACATTCCTATCGTAAGCTGTCTTATGTGCGGTGAATAGGTAATATACCTTCAGTGGGAAATGTATTTATTGTAGGCACTCTTCATTGTTGAGAAACATCCCTCAACACATTGAACAGGATTTTTAATCTACAGAGGGTTCATAAGACGTCAGGCATAAACAGTATTTTTTTACTTCGTCATGCTCATAAAGTGCGAGCTATTTTTATTCACTTAGTTCGAACTTTACCTTGCTGGCAGACGACAGAGCCAAGTTTTGTCCCGGCATTCCATCACGCTTTGGTCAACAGGCACATTATGGCATGCCTGTAATGGTGGTCTGTTAATTATTTCAAGATTGATTGTGGAAGAAGTACGTAAAATTATGCAAGCAAAGAGCCAGCAATCAGCTCAAAGGCTATCTTAAAGGTTGCTAGAATGAAAATGCCAGCCTAATAATGGTTATGGGTAATTATTCTGCTCTGTACCTGTCGCAGTGGTCTAGTGGTTACACGGTTTGTTAGTTTGTACCAAGGTTTATTAGTTTGTATCCTGGTCACAGCAACCACATTTTGATAGAGACGAAATATTTGAGGTACATGTACTTGAATTAACATCCTGACAGATACGAGTGAAAGCGAAACTGCTCTAGCTCACTCATAATGGACAGCGCTACCTGAAACTGCCAGCAGCAATCAGTGAAATGTTCAAGGTTTGCAATATTTTTCTCATCTAGTGAAAATTCGCTGCAGTGTTCCAGAATAATCTTTGGGCAGCACTGCTTTCTCTCTCAGCCCTGGCACTACCCATATATTCCACAAAATGCAGTTGCCACAATTCAATTAAAAATTACTCCAAAAAATGTTTAAGCATTCTTTTTTTAAGTTTCCTTTTTTAATGTATTAAGAGATTCTGGTGACATGTGAAGGATTAAGAAACTGAGCACCAATTGATGAGTGTAATTTACTTTGCATTATGGTGCTAAGCTGACTGCATGAAAACTAATTTTAGGTGCATATCTCTTCCTTTGCTGCGTAATTTTCTTCGCTTGAACTATATGTGAGTGAGTGTTAGTGTTTTTCTTATGCTTCGAGTTGTCATTTTTTTTTTCATTTTTTATTTTATGCCAATTCCTCGGTGTTATTGTTATCAACTTTCTGCATTCAGTTATACTTATTTTAAGACATATCTTGGATCTTGTATCTTTGTAATGTGCTTTATATTATTATTCTGACCAAACTTCATAGAGTAAATATTTGACTTTTAAATAAACGAGAGCCAATTTAGTCTGACGACATCATCCTGTTTTTACCATGATTTGCATTTTTATTTACGCAAGAAACAGTGTTCTGTAGCATACATCATCCGGGTTCAGCTTCCTGAATATTTATTTATTGGAAAATACCTTACTAGGCCAAAAGGCACAGAGTAAGGGAGGTTACTATGAAATGTGAAGTAAACTTATTAGGAGCAACTTTACAGTTCATGGGATACTGTGCAAGTACTTCGGCGCTGTAACACAATTATTTTGAAGACATTTTTAAGCTGTACAAAAAAGACAGCACATTAACATAGAACATACATGCACATGGAGCACTGTTCTGTGTGTGCGTTCTATGTTTCTCACGTGTTGCCTTTTTAACGTACTTTAAACATGTCTTCAAAGATCGATGAACCAGCTAGCCCATTACTGCAGCTGGTCTGTCTTCTTGCAGTGCCAACAGGACGCAATTTACGAGGTAAAAGCCGCTCGTTTCTCCAGTGGTGGGCAGTGAAGGAAGATTCCGACGACGAGGAGCGGGCCGAAGGGACGAGGCCACGCAAGTTCCATCAAGTGTTCGGGCATTCCAGCATGGGCCCCCCAGTACGGGTGAAGAGGAACAAGAAAAAAGCTTTCGCAAGGAAAGATCCGCTGGTCTGCGGCCAGTGCTTGTACACCACGTACTACGTGACCCACATGAAAGACCACATGCGGACGCACAGCGGGGAGAAGCCCTTCAAGTGCTCCAAGTGTACGGCTGCATTTACGCAGGCAGCCAACCGCAAGCGCCACATGCGCACCCATCACCAGGGGATCTAATCTCACGGCTCTGAAAATTTTCCTTCTTCAGATTCGATTGTAGCAGACAACAGAGGACTGTCATTAAATTGCTTTTTTTTTTTCATAAATTCAAAAATGCAAGTAGCGAAGACAAGTAAGGGTGGATGACAGGAGGTGCCCAGTGTTTTGCCTTTGCTAAAGAGGATAAGCTTGTACAAACTAGACCAACAATCACACTCATTCAAGTGAATGTGGTCGTTGTTGATTGTCTTATGTAAGGCGAGCATCATGTTGATATAGCTCGGTCTGGGACAATGGATCTGTGAGCTTGTCCTTATATTGCTGCTAAATATCGGTGTTCATTTGTGATTCTGTATGTTGACCTTGAAAATAATGGCTTAGTGTGAAAGGTTGATTCAATAGACCTCGTGACTAAGCCGCTCAGTGCGTTGCTGTTACCTATACCATTGCTCTTGTCTAAATAGATGGCTACTGTGGTTGAGCAATGCATAAAGAACATTGGATAGCAAAGGCATATTTTGGGCACAGTAATTTGGCACAATTACTGAAGGTAGGGTGCTAGAGCAGTGGTTTGCACCTTGCGTGTTGACCAGTATTAAGACCACTTTAAAAGTTTCAACTTTAGTTTCACAACACTGTGTGTGTGTGTGCTTTCATTTTAACGGTATGCATTGATATCATGCATTCCATTTCTTTTTTCTCCATCCATCATTAATATTTGAGGCTTCTTCATTTTGATTGCACACATGAAATACTGTTTTGCTGTAGACATGTTGTAGTCCTTGTTTTTGCCTCTGAATACGTTGTCAAGGAGTACTGTGCTCTTGTGGACCTGCATTTCATAACTTGTCAGAATGTCAGGCTGTTTGAATCCAGAATGAACGTCGAGCAATGTCTGTAGGGGTGAATATATTCATCATGTACGCACATTGCTCGTCATGCTACAAGTTTTCTAATTTTCTCAATGTGTAATTTACTTCGAGAAATGCACATGCCTAGCCTTGTCTTCAAGTGCTTACTTGAGTGGAGATTTTCGAGCCAGTCGCCTGTGCAAGATGCGACTAGCGTTGTCAGACTTGTTTGGCTGTGCACAGGCCACGTCGTTGTGGCACTGTGCAAAGTTGGATATGACAGCCTGTCATGACTGTTACTGAGACATCACCTCAACCTGCACCAATGTTGTGAAAACTCTAGAAAGTGAAAGTGTTGTCAGGGTTTAATCCTTCGCAACCCTGCCCTAAGTCATTTTGTACAGTTATAAATGTGCGTAATGCACACATTTTAAGATGCTATTCTCTCACCCATAGGCTCTAAATTTCATAATTTTTGTAAGCTGAAATGTCTTATCGTAGTGTTAAGTTACATGGATGCAACATGCTATGTAAAGCTTTTTATGTTTTGTTGTTGCTTGCTTTTTCTTTTTCTTTAGAAAATCACTGCAAGTTAGGTATACTGCTGCTTATCACTAATGAAAAAAAAAGACATAAGGTTTCTAATTCCAGCAGATGACATAACTGGGAGCAAAAAGTGAAGAGTGGGGAAGAGAATGTGATGTGTCGCGTACCTGATATGTGTGTAAAGAAAGAGATATATGTTTCTTTTTTTCCTCAAAGAACTAAAGGAATATGCACTATTTGTATAGGCACTGTTTGGGTAGTCAGGTCAAGCAGTACATCACGAGAATTGTACCTCACAGGGTTACAATGAACTGGCTGCAGAATGATTCTACAAAAGATTTTCCTGGATCTGAGGGGGCTGTGTCTGTATGTGAGTGACTCTGTACATGTGAAAATGTTTTCCTTTTGTCTCAATAAAGACAACTTTGCATTGCTTGAAGCATATTCTCAAATATATACTTTTACGTGCAGTCATTATGTCATGTATTCACCACCGTAATAAATTTAAGAGACAGTGCATTCATACTGGAATATACATTGTTTTTCACTCCTGCGGAGTACTAGTGAAATCAGCCATGCTGTTATTACTGTTTGATATGGGGGCCAATATACTATCACTTTGACAATGCATAATTTTGGTTATAGTAAGAGTACCCGTTGGGCAGAGACATGGAATAGTGTGTTAAACTAAGACTTAAGCAAAACATCATAAGGGATTACTGTCACACAAGCATGTAGTGGATACAGTAATAATGAGATCTAACAGACAATCGTACATTTACCGCCAGTGTCCATAACCACTTCGCGCGAAATTGGAAACAAAAGCTTAGCACCTATGGAGACATTGGGGCTCGAACCTGGGTCCGCTGGGTGCCAGCCCAGTATTCTACCATTGAGCTATGCTGGTACTTTTTTTTTTTCCCATGGTATTTAATAAAGTATTTGTACAATAAAGACAAAATGAAGTGAACAAAAGTACAATCAAATCCGAAAGTAAGCGCTCAAGCATTACTCATAAACGCTAAATGGCTAACACAGCGCGAGTTCCTTACATGGAGAGTTCTTCACATCGTGTTATACAAACAAAAAAGGGGTGAGGTCAAACAGTTCTTCAAGACGAAGTACCAGTCCGGTCTAAAGTCTAGCTCGTCGTAAATGTTTTTTAGGTGGATAGACATTTGAATGAAGTGTGCGCTTGAAGAGGTAGTGGGCTCTGCATTGCGGTCTTGCATTCGTGTCTTCCACAAGCTGTGCATGCCCATGAGAAAAAACATATCATATGGTACTTCATCAAGCGCTGCTGGTAGAAGATAACGTATTGTGTGAGAATTAATGACGAAACGTTTTTTCAGTGCTCGCTGAAAAACACCCCAAAACAGTATGGCATCTTTGCAGCTAACAAAGCAATGTTCAATCGTTTCCGGCACATCACATAGACGGCAGTTAACAGACGGAATAAAAATACCCTTTCTTTCTAACCATGTGTTTACCGCCAATGTTTCAGAGTGGAGTTTATAGAAGAATGTTTTTGAATTCGGTGGAGTGTACATTTTGCGCACTCGCTTCAACACATCGCGGCCTGGAAGATTGGAGTACAGTGAGCGGTACAATGGAGGTGGGAAGAGTGTACTCAGTAGGTCCTTATACAGCACCTTGCGCGATACTGTGTACAGGTATTCTACAGAAAAGCGAGCTTTAAGGAACTGAACTGCGAGGTAAACTTCCTGCATGAATCCCCACAAGCATGGGCGTTCGGAGAAGTTCGATGAAACAATTAAATCTGGTAAGCAATTAACAAGTGTAACCTGCAAGAAGGAACGGATTACAGGATGGGAATTGTCTCGAAAAAAGAAGAATCGGGACACTATTTGCCATAAATAAAGGTGTTTTAGTCCTAACCCACCGTCACTAACTGGCTTGAATATATTGTCACGACGCATGGGCTCAAAAGTCGAAGACCATATGAAAGTAGCAAAAATCCGATGAAAGCGTTGTATATAGAATCTTGTGCAATGAATAAGTTGCCATACATAGTAAAGTTTTGTTGCTAAGAAAGTATTGCAAGCTTCAGCTCTCCCAAATGTCGAAAGTCGATAGGGAACAAATGTCTGGGCCTGTCGTTCAAGCTTAGGGACGCGTTCCTTCCAGTAATGCGCACTGAATCTATATGCATGCAATGGTGCACCGAGGTATGTTGGAGGAGTTCTTGTCCAATTAATCCCTGCAAAGTGGTTCGGTGTGCTACCCCACAAGCCAAACCACAGTCCTAAACTTTTAGAGGCATTTAAACGAGCTCCTGATACTACGCCAAACTTTTCAATAGTATATACCACATTTTCGACACTTGGTTTATCTGTGTAAAAGAATGCAACATCGTCTGCATAAGCCAATACTTCAACCTCACTGCCTAATATACTAAAGCCACGAATGCAACTCGACTGTATTATGGTTAAGCACAGTGGTTCTAGATAAAGTGCAAATAAAAGAGGTGACATCGGGCATCCCTGTTTTACAGAAGAGCGAATAGAAACTGGCTTGTAGAGTTGACCATTAACTATCAGACGAGTTGAGCATTCATTATAGCATAGTTTAACGCCTTTAAGAACAACTTTGCCAACATTAGCTTGTTCGAGAAGAGAAAAAAGGAAGGAATGACGAACACGATCAAAAGCTTTTGCAAGGTTTACCTGTAGCATTGCAAGATGTTCTTGAGAACCATGACAGTATTGAAGCACTGTTCCAGCGACATGTACCTTGGTTTGTATGGATCGACCTCTGATCCCACATGTCTGATGAGACCCAATGAGGATCGACATAGCAAATTGCAACCTAGTTGCTAATACTTTTGCGAAAATTTTGTAGTCCACGTTTGACAGCGATATTGGTCTGTAGCCCTTGGCGAAGTGAAGTTTTTCCTTGTCAGTTGTTTTCGGTATTAACACAGTGTGACTTTTGCAAAAAGATTGTGGGAGTGTATCCATGTCATAACTCATCTGAAAAATATTCAGTAATATAGGAGCAAGTGTTTTCTTGAAAGCTTTGTAAAATTCGCCTGAGATGCCATCAGGGCCCAGTGTTTTCAATAGGGGCAAGTTGTCGATTGCTTGCTCGATTTCCTGTATAGTCATGGGCCCATCAATGACTGCACAATCATTGTCCTTCAAGGGGTTCACAAGAGAAACAAAACTAGCCTTGAGGTGAGCGTCAAGATCATCAGAGGGGGAGCTAAATAAACTGTTATAGTACGTTTCGAACGCCAAAGTAATGTCTCCATTATCTTTTGTGAGCACATCGTTAAGTACAAGTCTGAAATAACTTTAGAAATCGCATGGCGTTGCTCATCAAGTAAAGCTTGGCGTGTCGGTTGCTCAGAATTTAAAGTGCGCTGGTTCCGAGATCTAATAAGTGCCCCTTGGTAGTGAGCAGCATCATATCTCTGTAGTTGGCACTTAATATTCTCAATGTCTTTGATGTACTTTCCCGGCATTTCGCATTCCATCTCATAAAGATTGCAAAGACTTTTAACAAGTATCTTTTCGTCATTCTTTCTATAGAAAGACTTAACAGCACCAATTTCTAAAGCTATAGCACGAACTTCTTGTTTAAAAAGCTCCCAAGCAGCGAAGATATGAAAACCAATCGAAAAAGATTGCCTCAATGCCATCTGGACGCGATTCATGAATTCCTGATCACGGAGGAGCTTCGCATACATTTTCCAAAGTGCCCACTGGGGACGGAATCGTTTGTGACGATTTTCACCAATTTGGGCTATGACAATACAATGGTCTGAGAATGATACAGCTTCGGTGCTGCAGGACATTTTACGAGATAGGAGTGATGAGGACACAAAAATCCGGTCAAGGCGAGCATGAGAACTGCCTTGTACTCTTGTATATGCTGTTGCCCGATTCGAGACCCCGATGTCAATTAGTCCTGCATTATCTACAATACCGGATGAAAGCTCGCCACTCCTGTCTCTCTTTCCAGACAAATTATAATGATCAGTAGCTTCACATACGCAGTTGAAATCTCCCATAAGTACCGTGCATCTGTCGACGTCAATTAAATTACGCACTTTTTCAAATAACTCAAGTCGTTTCGGAACCTCATTAAACGCATATAGAGTGATAATTCTCCATGGCACTCCTTGCAACAAAAAATTACAGCATATATACCTGCCCTCTTCATCAACACTAGTGCAGAATGCTGAACAAAGTAGGCTCTTTCTCAGAAACAACTAACAGCCTGCAGATAAACCTTTAGCATGTGAGACACACATATTAAACTGAGACGGAAAAGGCCGCAGGGCCTTCTCGGTTTCTTCCTCGCTCTCGATCTTTGTCTCTTGGATGGCGACAAAGTCGAGACGCTTCCGATTGAGAAGTCTACGGAGCTGTGCCTGTTTCTGTGAAGACCTAAGGCCGTGTATGTTCAAGGTATCAAATATGAGTCGCTCAGACTGCGCCATGGTGACTACCTTCCAATGCGCCTATCGTCCCACTTGATCAGTCCCAAGAGTTGGCCCTGAGGCTTCCCGTGAACCTCCACGAGGCCTTCTAGATCGGGATCGGCGACACTTCCCCTTTGGCATGGACTTTCGGCGACGGCGTGACTCCCTAGTCACTGATGCTGGGTCACTCCCTTTGCTTGAATCCGAGCTGGACGATGCGCGACGTTTCGGTATTACTGCATCCATAGAGATCTGCATATTATCTTCCGACACTGCACCATGATGAAAAAGCTGCTGCGGAGCTGCAGCGCAAGCAGGTGAAGAACTTTCTGCGGCATCCAGCCCAGAGTCTCTGTCTTGTACTGGTGATTCTTCGGCATCTTTATGGGTCAGCGCAACAGCACTCTTCATAGGAACTCCTACTTGTGCTAGGGGTTGTGCGGAGTCATTTTGGGTATGCTGCTTGCATGATTCACTTGGCTCTTTGCACGCAGAAGTTTCAACTGTGTCAACAACCAGTGACTTTCTTTCCTTTTCTGGATTCCTTGTGGTAGAGCCTGCAGCATATGAAATTGACGGAGTGTCTCCCGTTGTGTCCAAAACCTCGGTGTCATCCCGGTACTTGGGACTTGTTTGCTTTGATGTCGAGCAAGCAATCGCGTTAATACGACTTGTAAAGCTTTTTAAAACGGCGAAAGAACGACCAGTCGTCGCATGATGCGAATGGCGTAACGAGTGGCACGTCCAATGCTCCAACCTATTACAAAAGCTTGTTCTTGTTCCCCTATTAACTGTGGCGCATACCAACTTCAGCCATAATTCCTCATAGTCGTCAGCCACTGCATGGACAACTGGCCCAAAATTCCTTGCACGTGTTTTGCAGATACCACGATTCTCAGAAGAATGACTAAAAACAGCATAGCGAATGCCGGCCTACTACCCAATATATTATTAATGCCACAGTGAGTACCAAGCAAGTTTACTTGCAGTAGTTACCCAATA